TTTAATCGCTTCGAGTGTTCTTTTTGTGGCAACAACCTCGTGCATGCCAGCTACACAGTGCCCTGCAGTTAACCACTCTATCTGCATTCAGAATAAATTTTATTGTAAAACACAAGATCATATGAATGATGTCAATAATAGATTACACTTATCTAGGAGAGCTGTCAAATTATCCCGGGCCATGAGAATGAAATCACAGCATATTTAGATATCAGCTTAAGATTCCAGGACTCTATTTTTAACAATTAACACTACCTGTTACCTAAATGAAACAGATAGCATAAGATGAAGAAAATAATGAGCTCCTATGCATCAGAAGTGATTCTTTTTAGATGAAATGTTGGAAAATTCAGGCGTTTCAATACCTGCTTCCCTGCCTGAATAAGAAGACACCCAACTGGAACCTTCACTTCAACTTTCTGTCCATTTCTTAACCAGATGTTTAAACCAGGAAATCTACTTCTACCATGGATTGTTAGGAAGTTCAGGTCGTAGTGATATCCAGCAAAAACAGTGCCCTCCTGGCCATATTTTTTAAGGTCACTCCCTGTTGGAGCCAACAGATGTGGGCCCTGGTAATAAGACAAGATGGATAGAAACCTCAAACCAAAGATAATTACCAAAGGAAAGATGGAAACAACAAAAACATGATTGAAGCTGTAACTTATTTTATGGAAATTAATACTACAAAGTGCCACAGATGACCAAGTAAATAATAGCAATACATGAGAAGGTCACACAGGCCATTCTCACTTGGTACATACTGAAATGAATATGCATGTTCATCCCCAGGTAAATCGCATTGCTAAATGACTGAGGTTATGCCCATTATGTAGCTATATTTTCAAAACAGGATTCTACCCAAAAGAGTCACCCCTTTCAGTTTATTTTAGAATGTTAAATTTGCATGATCAACAGTAAGCCCGATTTATCAAAATAAAGTATGACACTATGATCATGATTCCGTTACTTGATAACTCCTACACCACACAAACTGAGAACCTTTACTATCACATACAGAAAAGAATCAATTGCAAATGCACGAGTGACATTGATCAAAAGGCAATGAATATCAAGTTTGTAATCAACACATTGTAAAAGCTGTTGCATACCTAACAAAGAACACTTGTACCTGCACAACTTTTATTTTTGGCACTGTTTTTAGCTTCTTATTAACAATAGCATTTGTTAACGTTTACTGACAAAATAATTAACCACCTAACAGCTACTACTGGGAAAGGGATATAGATGGATGAGGTTCCAGTTTAATTGACAAAAGTGGACACCTGCTTCATGAGAGAAGTGAATGCATCCTTTGGTAGCCCAAAGCCAACAGCTGCCATTTCAGCAACCACCTAAATAAGATATGCACTGCCACTGAAATCATATACATAAAATAAAAACGAAGGAAAAAGGTGAAAAACCACACAAACACTCACTTCTATTGCTGAAATCATCTTGTATCCCCAGGAATCCATGTTTTCTTTCCATTCAGGAAAACTATCAGGTATAACTGGCTCTGAATTGAGTTCCTGAACAATTAAGATAATATTAGGAATGATTTATGCAAACTAGATAATATTGGATGGCCAAAGAGAGGAAAGAGATGAGAGACCTGAAAACGAGTGTTTGAAGGTCGAGGACCAATTCTCCAAAAATATCGCCACTTGAGATCAGGTCCAACAGGAGTATGAGGTTGGTGCTCTTTTGGCATTGTTTTTAGTTTCTCTTGCATTTCTTCATCAACCAAGCTTCTTGGAACTTCCACTCTTTCTGGTGTAACCCCAACCTATACGACCATTTTTTTATTAACAATTCTTACAAAGTCCTTTGGCCATGAATACCACCAAATTACACAAAACTTCTCTTTTCATAATCGATATTTCCAGTCTTGACTTTCTCCACGTATAATATATGAAATCGATTTATCATCTGTGTTTGAACTAGACTGACTGTAAGCCACTGATGATCTCTGTATACTTTATAGTGATTAAAATAAGTACTAACAACGCAAACTAACGAAGTAAAGTAGCCTACTAGTATTGGGTTTCGTTCGTCTAGAGAAAAGTATTGTTTTATTTGTCAGAATCAGCATAACTGAATGAACAAGTAACATGGAGGGATGCCCAAATGCAAAACGATCTCGGCTTAAAGGAGTTTTAACGATTCACTCAAAGACTTACACTTTTTAAAAATAAACCAAGCCCATATCATGCAAGACTACATTCTCACAAATCAAGCAAAAGCAATATGAAAAGCTTACAAGTCGATGCTGAATCCTGATCCTATCATTTAATTTAGAGCAAACAATACGGCAGAATTATCAAAATTGTGGACTTTAAAGGCGCAAAGAAGTCAACTTGAAGAAAATTGAATGTATTCAGCCACCCCATCAATGCTAAAACAGGAAACTTTGCAAGACCGAAACTTTCTGGGCAACCAAACATCCATACCATTAGGACCATCCTTACCTGGTAATGCAAATGAGGCCTCTCCTGGCGGCGCTTGAACTCCTGAGGGCTCTCGAAGTACTTCTCCATCATATCGATAAAGCGATCGTTGTCTTGGACGGAGCATCTGGGATCCTTGATGAGCAGAGCTCCGGTCTCCGTGAGACTCCGACTCACCTCAGAGCAAAGCGCAACTAGGTCGGAACTGAGGTCGCCGGAGACGGCCAAGTAGGGGGAGAGATCCACCACAGGCAACTCCATCTTCACGGAAGAGAAAGGCGGAAATATCTGCTCTTTTAAGGATTGTGATGATGGCGGGAGATTGGGGATTCGATCTTTTTTCAATAACTAAATGACATTCCGGATCCCCACCATGTTATCACAAACCAATGGGCTTTTGCGGAAAACCACCGGGGCCCCAATAATGACAACATGATTTCTGCCAAATTTAAGAGAAAATTATAGTTAAGGACCAAAATATGAAGTTATTTATATATATAATGTTAATTTCTTAAAATGTTATATCAGCCAATCCTTGAATAAAAAGTGAAAACAAATTGTAGAAATGCTCATAAAACAAACAATTCGTCTTATTTGGTAAATGCTCGTAGAGAATTTAAATTTATCATGCGAGGCTAAATTTTTTAGTCTCATTGATAAATTTTCTACGAGTATTAAATTCACCATATATGACTGCTAAATTAGATAAATTATTTGTTTAAAAAATATTTCAATTATTGTATATCTTTTGGCTAAACTATATCTTTGATTTTTTTTAATTTTATACAAGATTTCAATTTAATCTCTTAATTTTAAAAATTATATTTTTAATCCTTTAATCTTAAAATTATTAGTTTTAAATTATAGTTTTTATAACAATCATAATTATTTTAAAAATTAAACTTAATATATATTAGAAATATTTTAGTAATATTTAAGATCTTAATATTATCATTTTTTGTTAAGATTTTAAATTTAAAATACTAAAAATATATCTGTTAAAATTAAAAAATTAAATTAAAACTTTATATAAAGTTAAAGGACATTTTAATCAATATTTTGATCTTGCAAAAGAATTTTAGAAATTTGATGCCTCTGTCTATAAATAATTTTTCACTTTGGTTCTTAAGTATAATTTTCTCGAGAATGAAAGAGTCTAAAATTATTTTTTCCCACTTTGCGTGTCCAATTTTGGAAGTGCATGCGGTCACGGAATTGATAACTTCGTCAAATAAATCCATTTGACGTAATTAGTAAAAGTTTTTACTTCCGGTCCTAATTATAAGACCCAATTGACTTATTTGAGAAGATTAAGAAAGTAAGTTAAGTTGGTTATTTATAATAAATAAGTGTTGTCATTCCTAAAATATCTTTGCTAATTAAGTATATTGGCTAAAACTATCATTATTAGAAGGATTATCTTGAAAAAAAATGCATAAATATAAGAGACAAAATGGATTGGGTCTTATAATTAGGACCAAATAAAAAGTCAAATTGGGTCTTATAATAAAGATCGGAGGAGTATCTGTTAAGTGATTAAATATAATGAACACGTGAATTATAATAATTACGGGGTAAAGTATTCAAGTATTACTTTATCCTACGTCTGTAGCTTAGCTGGAAAGAATGTGATTTTAGTTTCGAGTAAAATTAGGCTCTACTATTAATAGAGAAAAATATTTTTCATAATTAAAAATAAAATAAGATTTAATGCGTTTCAAAAATAATAATTGTTGAATAATTGTAATAATAACACAAGTCATAAAAGGTGTCAGATATATTTACTCTCTTGACACACTAGTTTTGAAATTTTCTTTCTTTAATTGCTAGCTCTTATTGGAAGGAATAATTTTTGAGATATTGTCGGATATTAAATATGAGTTTTTTTTTTAATGAGATTTGAATATTAGTCCAGTTAATTACATTTAACCCCGTTGGTTATCTTGGAAACTTATTTTCAAAGCAACGTAGTTTCATCAAATTGGACCAGCGTTGTCTTATTAAGATACACCTTATGGCCCAAAACAAAAACCTCACCTCATATGAGAGCGGCGGCTTTATGATAAAATTTTTTTATTTATTTATTTTTACTTTAATATAAAAGTTAAATAACTAATTTATAGACATTAAAAAGTTTATTCAGTTGTTTTTGTTAAAAAATATTATTAATTTTTCTAAAATACTCCTTTTAACTAAATAAAATCTGCTTATGACAATTTATTACTTGGTCCCCCTGTTTGGTTCTGGTCCTGGATCAGAAAAATACGGTCGGTTTAACAACTGAAACAGAATTTAGTCATCTGTTTAATTTGTATCTGCAACATTGCCAATTGTCAAAACATAAAACCAACATCAGCCTTGTTTTCCTCTACTTGCCAGTCAGTTAAGGGTTTGTTTGTTTGTTGCTTGTGAATTTCATAGTTGGAACTTTCCCTAATATTAAAGCATGCTCTAATTCTTGCACAAGTATATAACACATTCCAATTGGCCACCAAAAAAAATCATCCCAAACTCCATGTTTCACAAAGCCAAACACCCATTCAAATTCTTATGGCACTCATACACATTCCCATTCTTGCCTTCCTCTTCTCCTTCTTAGGTACTAATAATGTCCCGTTCAGACGTGCTCTAATAGATTATTCTTGAACTTTTTTATGATAATGACAATTTATTTTCTTGATGGGTTCTTTTTCTGCAGGATCAGAAGCAGGAGTTTTCACTCTGCAAAATAAATGTAGGGAGACAATATGGCCTGCAATCCTAACAGCTGCAGGAAAGCCTCAACTGATGGAAGGTGGGTTCCAGTTAAAACCTAACGAAACCATAGACATCATTGCCCCAAAAGGGTGGTCCGGCAGGTTCTGGGGCCGGCGCTACTGCTCCTTTGACACCTCCGGCAATGGAATGTGCATTACTGGAGACTGCGGAGGCAAGCTCAAATGCAATGGAGCCGGAGGCACGCCACCAGCCACACTTGCAGAATTCACTCTAGACAGTCCTATGGACTTCTATGATCTTAGCCTAGTTGATGGTTATAACATGCCAGTGTCAATTTTTCCTTTTGGGGGATCTGGGACGTGTAAGGCTATAAAATGCCTTGCAAATTTGAACAAAAGATGCCCAAGAGGATTGGAGTTGAAGAACAAAGGTAGAGTTGTTGGGTGCAAGAGTGCATGCTTGGCCTTTAACAAGCCAGAGTATTGCTGTTCTGGAGACTTCAATAGCCCTAGCAAATGCAAGCCAACAAGTTATTCGAAGGCCTTTAAGGCATCCTGTCCTCTAGCTTATAGTTATGCTTATGATGATGCATCCAGCACTTTCACTTGCCAAGGAGCAAATTACTTGATTATGTTCTGTTAAGAAGGGATGATACAAAACTTGATCAAGTGAGAACACATCAAATAGAGGGTTGAACTCGAGATTACCTCACATGAGTAATGACATTACTGTGATAGAACAAAGGTTCTCACCTGAACCCCATGTCAAGACATCATATTTTGTGTGCGCTTTGTGTGTATACCTATTATTTCTTTATGTATATTAATTGCACAGAATAGGTTTGAAGTGTAGATGTTCTGACAAAATGCTCGATCATGTACAAATAAAAATATAGGTATTATTAATTATAGATATATATAAAGACATAAAGATGGATTCCATTGAAGAGTATATTGATATGCTTGCATGAATATTAATGATTAGTTTATACAATCTCAACTATTTTTTAGAGCGGGTTTCCTTGAAGAATTTTCTTGTTATAACTATTAAATCTTGAATGAACAAATAAATACCATAGCTAAATAAAAACATACACTGGAACGTGTTCTTGAATTCTCACACACACACACACAACATGTTTACCTTTCTGCCTGAAATACTAGACAAGAAATTTATAAGAAACAGACAAACCAATACCGAAAAAGTATTATGCATTTTTTTCCCATTATGTAATAAGCTATTATGCATATCTTAATCAAAATTGTGCAATAAGGTAATTCTATTTCCATTATGCTATAAGATATTATTTTTAAAAAAACAAAAGAATGATGTCCTATGTCCATGCTCAGGATGCTGCTCTAAGCAATAATCATGGCAAAAAGCTCGCCAACGGATACGGTGAATAGACTACTCAATTTCATCAAACCATCAGAAGTTGAGTTCTGCTGCATGCCAGCCAACCAAACCAAGATAAGTCCATCAACAATCTCCTGAAAGCGAAAAAAGGGGCCATATAATATTAAAGGCAATGTAGTTCATCAAAAAATATTACAGGCAAGTAGATAGTGTGTTATGTGTTTGCTATCAAATTACTCGTTGGAAAAATGTTCTCCTACATGTCATATCTCTATCAAAGAAACAGCAAACACCAAAAAAAAATTTAAAAAAAATCGTAAAAGTAACAAAAATAGCAAGGGAGAAGGAGGAAAGCCCTCACATGAGATATAGGTAACAGTCCTTGCAGCTCCAGTTGAAAGAGAGTTCTAAGAAAAATTGCAGCAACGGGACCTCCTTTTAGTTTCTGGGCCCTTTTGATCTTCTAGGTCATCTGAAGGGACATAAATTTCTGTTCCTTCAAGATTTACTTTCTCCAGTTTCGATTCTGCTCCATTAGCCACAAGAGACTTCTTACAGACAGTTAAATAGATCTGAGAAAGAAGACCAAGGAAAGCTGGCTCTACATTGGTGGAGTCAAGTGCTGACGTCTCCATGAAGAAGAGATCACGTTTCTGAGCAAGCTCTTTGGCTCCCTCGAGAGGTACCACTCGCATCAAACCCAGGTCACTCTTATTGCCAACAAGCATAACAGTAATATTCTTATCCGCATGCATTTGTAGCTCCTCCAACCATGTTTCAACATGATCAAAGGTTTCTTGCCTGGTTATGTCATATACCAGCAACGCACCCATTGCACCTCTGTAATATGCAGTAGTAATTGCCTGGTACCTGTGACAAATGCCAAAATTGACTCAGAAAATTCACAGTAGCAAGAATGTGTCTGAAAATACAAGGAAAATCAACTCAGCCCAAACAGGCCATTCAACTTGGTCTACAGCTTCTAACGATACAATAATGTAGATTGAAAATGGGAAACCATAAATTAGGCACGTGTGGTTTACCAATATCACTTTATTTAAGTAAACTAGACCAGCAAGCACATCCTAGTTCATTTGGTTTCTGCTTCCATATTTGAAAAAAAAAATGTTCAAAAAGATAAACAAAGTTAATACACTTGTGATTTTAAAAGGCATCACTTTCTCGTTGACTAGGCACATTATATTTCATCATTTTCTGCTGTCGATTTGGCTCTAAAAGGGATAAACGAAATTTAATACATATGTGATTTTGAAAAACTTTATTGACATGGATAATAAAATTGAAGCAAGGCATGAGAGCGCATGCAAATCAAATACATTACTTATGATCATGCATATTTCCTATATCTCCTCAAATGTGATCCCATTAATCTAGTGCTAATTAAATAATAAGACATTTCGAATAGAAAAAGGATATTAAAGTTCACTCAAATATGATCTAAAAATATCAAATTATTCTCGTGAACAACTTAGGTCGAAACTATGCAAGAAAACATTTTAGGGGGAGAAAAACATTTTTTAAATAATTAACATACCTATAAAAAAATTTGATCTAATTGCTTATAACAAGCAAATCTTACAAATAACTTGATTTTATTGATAAACAGACAACAAATCAGCAAAACTACATTTTACGAACTTCTTTTAATAATTATCGTCAGGTGAGCACGTTATATTGAACAACATAAGTGAAATCATGTACAACAAAACACATATCAGATATAATCTACATTTCATTTCCAATGGAATCGAGTCTACAAAATAGTGCTAAATCAAAGATATATAACATGATGTCCTTAGCTCATTACAATACGCAGCAAGAAACTTTGATTAACCAAATTAAAAAATTGTGACTCCTAGATTGTTATGCACACTTAATTTTAGCCTCTCAGGCATAAGATAGTCTCCAGCAATAACAAAGAACAAAACTCAAGTGCAATTTTGAAGCATCTGCCCTTAGCCAACCCAATAAAACATGACAGGTAAAAATGTCTATAATTAGATCTTCTAAACAAATATAGTCCATACGCCATATGATTACTCAAATTCTTAAAGAACTTAATCTAAATCTAATCTAAGGAAAAACTCACAACACTGCACTTTCTTCACACAAGTCACTCAGAGTATGTTATGCATTGGCACAATTTTCGGATATTGAAGTTAAACACTCCCAATAATCAGATCAAATTGTTAGCATGGAACAATAACAGTATCACAGAGAGAAGAGGACTCAAATAGACCTTTCTTGACCAGCAGTATCCCAAATCTGGGCCCTGACAACCTTGTGATCCATGAGCACCGTCTTCGTCTGAAATTCAACTCCGATCGTCGCCTTCGATTTGGCATTGAACTCATTCCTGGCATAACGATTCAAGAGCTGGGATTTTCCCACGCCGGAGTCGCCGATCATCACAATCTTGAACATGTAGTCGATCCCCTCCTCTAAATCGCTCAGCCAGTGATCCATCTCCGCCAGGATTCTCCACAACCCCTTCGGTCAAATCAGCCCAACAATGCGAAACCCTCTTTAGATTCAGGCCAATTTGAGTGACTTCAGCAAAAGAAGGGTGCTTTTCACAATTTGGCTGCGGATGAACAGACGGTGGGTGTCGTGTAGCTTGAGAATTTATGGCGCGTGAAAAGAGACGCATTGAGAATAAAGGAGGGAGTTTTAGCATGGAAGAAAGGGAAAAGGAAAGCTGAAGCGACACGTTATCGGAGAAGGTGTTTGGCATGTTTGCTTAATGTCGTTGGCTTCCTTCTTTTGAACCGTTAGGTTGGCGAAGCGGGACAACGACGAAGCTGCCAAAGAAAGACTCACCACCTGTATTTCGAGCTTTGATCATTAGAAAGTTGAAAGCTTTGTGAAGTGTCGAAAGAGAAAGAGGACACACGCTGACACGCTGCAGAAAAGGAAGTCAAATCCGCTCTATATCACATACTTGAATTTATTTATTTATTTATTTTTAGTTTTAACTTTGTTATTATTTGTGCCAAGAATTGAATTAAAGGGTGTTTGGCAACCTCCAAACCATGTTTTCAGAAACTTTTTTTGTAAAATGAGTAAACTCCTCCACATATTTACTTCATAAACCGTAAAAGCACTTCTGAAACTATGGTTTGGTTTCTATCCTAAACACTCCCTAAATAAAAATATCTTTTTAAAAGCAAATTTAAGAACGTAAATATAGATAAACTAACCTTATGAATATATATGAGATAATAAATTGCGGGCAAAATATGTTGGAAAAACATCACTTTAAAGTATAAGAGCACAGTATTCAGCTCAAAAAAAATATAAGCACAGTATTGTTTAATTTTGCATTTGACATTAAATTAAATTAAAATCAAAGTTTTAATAAAACCGGGAGGCCAAAAATATGTTTATATTTATATATAAAAGATAAAATGTTGGCAAATGATTTATTGGACCCAAAAAGAAAGAGTTATACAAGTTTTTTTTAATGTTTTTATATTATTTAAATTAATGATAGCCCCATAATTAAGGATCAATTTATTCAACAAAAGCTGGTATGATTTCATACAGGTACGCATTGAGAGAACATGAGGTGGATAGCATAAAACGGGCGACATTTGCATTTTATTCATTTTTCTCATGAGAATTAATTTACAAACAAGCAAAATGAAAAGCAATCCAAACTAGGCCTAAATGATTTGCAGAGCAAGTCTCAGCATAATTTCATATAATTACAGTTTATAATTTCTATAACCTTTTCTCACTTCTAAGTACAAATTTGATTTGGGCATGAGAGAAGAACCATAGATATCATGACTCAAAAAGGATGTACATTGCTTAGGTACCATTCAAAGCATCTTATCTAATACAAGATATCAGAGACATATCAATAGTGAGACAATTATCATGTCTCTTGATTCTTCTTTTGTTTTCCCCCTAGCTTTTGAGAGATTTGATCTAATTGAAAAAGAAGAATGTATTCCCTCATTCCTTCAGCTAGCTACAAGGAACTGAGTTCTGCATCTGGTTACTTGAACACTTGCACTTTGCTTTAGTATCTGTGAGCATCTGCAAGAGAAGGAGAAAGAACACTTTGGTGAGACAATAGACACTTCATTGAGGGATAATCCTGTTCATTTGGTCCAGAAATTCTGGTGAAAAAGGACAAAGAAAGAAAAAAAACTTCCTTAAACTCATTTAGTACCTTAACTTGTTTCTGCAAATCTTTAATATAATCAACTGCTAAATCCAACATATCTGCTGTGCTTGTTTGCTGTCATGGGAGGAAAAAGACCAAAACAAAAAGGGTTTTACTGAAGTTCAAAGAAACCTTAGTGAATATGAAATGTTGTAATGACAGAGCATCATGGATTACCTTTTCAGATTTTGGGAAGAGATCTTGCAATTTCTTTATTCTTTCACTGATTCGTGTTCTTCTTACCCTCTCTGCAATGCTCCGTGGGTGGGTGGCGAAACCTCTTTTAGCTCGAATCTTACAAGGAACAGATCCCTGAACTTGAAGAAACTTCTCAACGGCATCCATCTTTGACTTTGTAGAAGAACTAGGCAGACTCAAATGATGAGTCAAACCAACATTCTGATATCCAAAATCACCATTCTGAGAACAAAACAGCAGAATATACGTATACTAAGACTCAAATCCATTCAACAAGATTACAGACAAAACTGAATTAAGAAACTTGCAGGTTTATATGTACCTGAGTTTCAAAACCATTTGAAGTAGTAGAAAACATGAGTTCATCATTGTCACTGGCTGTTTTGGTGTCATTGAATGAAGGACCATCCCAGAAGTCACTTGTAAAACTGGGAATGTAACATTCAGTGTTATTGCCATTTCTGTCATTTGTCAGATTTCTTCTGCCATCCACACAAGTTGCTTCTTCTAGGGTTTCATTTCCATCTTCTGCTATATCAGGCAAGTGTTTTGAACAAGAAGATGGTTTAGATGAGAAGGCTAGAGTATTATCATTTAAGCCACTAACTGATGTAGAAGCTTGGCCATTTGAGACATGATCACAGGCACTAAAGCTTCCCACATCTCTCCATGTCGCAAAACCTGCAATTTTTTTAGAGATAAAACAATTATTCTTGAGCTCTCACCTAATAATTTAGTAATTTTCTGAATTGAAGGGGAAAATACGCTCATTTCAAGGATTCTTGTCAAATCTTTTTGAGTTTTATATTTCCATATTCTTTTTAATTTTATCTGAGTTGTATGAGAAGTCAACTCTCTTGGAATAACTCATTTGAAAGTGTTTCCTCAATTAGAAATACAAGATAAATAGCCATCAAAATAAAAAGAGAGAAACACAAAGGCGAACATACCATTTTCAACTGAGAAATTGTTGAACAGTCCAGCAGGGGAGCTTTTCTGCCTAAGGAGATTATTTGACCTTATTTTGGACTCAGTGGAATTGAATGAGCCATCAAAATCATTCCCAGAAGAACCTACAGACCCGTTTGGCAAGCCCTGAACAGCTTGCTGAGTCTGAGATTGGTAAATCATCTGAGGACCATAATTAGAATTATACCCACTGGGTCTCTCAGAAACAGAGTCCCCTGCTTCTTCCTGCTTCATCCATTCATTGTTTGATGATGAAGAAACCAACTTGGCCAACATCGCTTCCATTTCTGAACTTGAAGATGGATTGTGATGATGATCATGATGATCTACGCTTCTAGAGGCTCCCTCATTCACACAGCCGTGGCTATTCTGAACAAGGCTTGCCAGAAATGAGCTTGGAGCAGAACTGTACCTCATTAATCCAGAATTCAAGTGGGGAATTGAATCCATTTCTGGGTTTCTCCTAAGCTCCCCGTCTGAGTAATTCAGAACACTGGGACTATACATAACACTCATATTCCTGAAAATTCACCGTCAAAAAACAGAAGGGTATGTCATATTTCTTTCTTACATAGATAAGTATAGAAGTGCCACCAAAAATTCTTGGAGAAATTTTGGGTCAGACAGATACAGCAGGAAAGCTCAGACAGGAAAAATCACCTCGGAAATTATAAAATCCCCAGAAAGCTGTCCTCAGACTTGCGGAAAGAATGTCAATTTTATCTTCAATCTTGAAAACCTAATACCTGAAAGATCGACAGGAACAAGTTCAGCTCAGAATCTTTCTAAGACCCTGCTGCTAAAAGCAGAGTTCAGAGTATATAGATTTCAGGGCCAGACAGAACTTTTTTTGTCCCAGAAAAAGTGTATACAAGAAAAGGGGCATACTTCTTACAATTCAGAATTTAACAGCACTTAAAACTCCAAAGTTGTGATCTTGAACGATTTGAGTCCGGATCTGAGCTCAAAATGCAGACAGATAGAGAGAAGAAGGAGGAGGCGGCTTGTTAGCTTGCTGCGACTTGCATAGGGGGCATATTTATGGAGTGTCTTGTCGGGTAATCACCCTCGTATTTGCTAATTATAACGATTATGCCTTGGTGAGATAATGTGGTCCCTCCTAACTTTTCTGTTCTTGCTTTTCTCGTTGACCAAACAAGCCAACCATATCTGGTTTCCCACTCATAATGAGGTTAATGTACAGTCATAATTTACAGGGGAAATTAATAACTGTTCATAAACTATGAGATATGAAAAGTAGTTCAAATCTTGCAAGTTTAATCTGAAATCAATTTACTCCAAATGGTTTAAGGTGGGCATATCTTTGTTTTTTTTTTTTTGGGTTTTTGTCTTTTTGTCAAAAAAATTTTGGCTATAAAAACAACAAATAATGATGTAAATATTACAATTTTTCATTTATATCATAAAATCCTTTCATGTATTGTGAGTGGCCAATTTCAAGTAAATCTTATTTTTGATCATGAAAATACTTGTTAGATGTGAGCATAATTAAAAATTTCCCCTGCAAAACATGAGCATAATTTCTTTGAAAATCTAATAAATAGAAGTTTCTTATTATTTATTTATTTCTTGCAAATTACTTTTAGGGACAATCATGATATGAATTCACTTTTTATTTATTTATTTTATTTTACGTCACAAAAGCACACAAAATTGAGATGAGATTAGGGATGCTTAGCTTACAGACAAAGCGACCCTTGTTTATGGATGAAGGTTTAACGGTTGATTGTGGAGTTAGGAAGTACAAATATTTAAGGCATAGTTTATTTTATAATTCCAATCCATACACATAAATATAATTATTTAAACTATAAATATTGTTAAAAATAAAATGGGTATAAAAATTAATTCAATGCACAGTTATATTTTTTTAGAATGCATAATTGTATAACATAAAAATGGAGGTGAGTCATGATATATTAACATTATATTATGGTTTTATACGAACTTTTCATTATACATGAACTATAACTAATGATTTAATTTTTATTTTTTAAATGACTCATCATATAATAAAATATTAATTTAACAATTAACTTTAAAGACAGGTTAGGAAAGTTATATGCCACTAACTCACAGTTTAGGAGGATTTTGTATTTTAACTTTTGTGTTATTATTATTTCCTTCCAATATATTTTATTTTTTAGAAAAATAAATATTTTAACCATTATTTTATGTACATTTTTTGCCAGCCGTTGTTTATACCTCAAACATGATTTAAAATAACTTGTACGGAAATGTGTTCTTTGGTTACCGGAAGGGACAATATTATTTTATTTTTAAGATTCATGAATAATCTTATCTAGCTTTTTTCCTTTTATATACATCATACTTTTTTGTCAAGATGCATTGATGCAATGCTTACCAAAGAAAGCAACTTTAAAAAAATTATTAAAAAAATCTTTCCAAGTTAAATTAGGAAGCGAATATGTAAAAAATAAATCAATTAAAGGAAATAAAAGCCGAGTTTGTTCTCAGGATAAAATTTTGATGCATTGACAATACATTTGTATATATAAACATATTGTAATTTTATTAACATTTTTATAACCGTATAAATCATTTAAATAATTGCCTTTTTTCTCGCCATGAGAGTTATATACAATATTCTATCAATTCTTTTTTTTTTAAATGACAACATTTTAAAAGTTCCGTTGCTCTTATGCATAAAATATTTTTAAAATTTTGAAGGAATAAATAATATTTTCTCCTAAAATGACTCTAAAATTATTATAAAAAATAAATGAAAGGTGTTTTGTGGATGGAAGGTTGGAGATGAGATAGTGAGGACCCTTAATTAAGAAAAGTGAAAAAAAGGGATAAATTTATAGACATTGACTAATTTTAACCATCTTTTAGTTTGTGTAAAGTAGATACTAATTTTGTCTCATGAAAAAATAAAAATCATAAAATTTTAACAAAATCTATTATTTATGATAACATATTAATCAAACTCCATGCAATATATAATACTAATTACTTGAGAATAAAATATAGAAATATACTAACATTCAAGCAAGGATAGGATTGGGAAACAATCCTAGTCATCATTTTGATCCTTTTAAATACCTTTCTAAAAGCAAAAAAGATCTCCTTCTCTTCTATATATACACACAATACATATAATATCTATTTGCTAATATGTGGCTGTTGTTTTTTGTTGAGCATAAATAAAAAGAAAATGATTCTGTACTCATTTATAAAATGAGTGAATAATGTTTTTTCACTGTTTAATTTGAATCATGCATGTATAACAAATGTGATTTTTTTAATGTTGTTATTTTTATTTTGGATAATTTAAAAGTTTTAATATTACTCTTCTTATTCTCATCCTAAATGTAAGAGTTAATTTGTTTTAAAAAATGTAAGATCTAATTAAGGAATTGGTTTTAATCATAAATATATATATATCTTAATTCACTTATTTTTTTATATTTATTTTTTTTACAAACATTTTTTGTCCAAAAACATATAAATTGATATGTAATCTAATATAACACACAGATTTTTACAGAGATCTGATCACACATGTTAAATAATTTATTTAATTCTTGATCTCTATTTAATTTTAAATCAGGTACGTTATAACATTAACATATTCTTACTTTTTTATTAATAATAAATGCGAATTTTCTAAATGAAGTATAAAAATCTAGATTATTTAAAAGTACGAGAAGTCGAGAACTATATGGGCAATCGTTGAACATTTCTAATATGGACATGAAAATAGAATCTAGACAGATGTTTATAAAAAACCAACGCATGGTTCAGATTGCTTTTAACGTTACGAATTAAATATGTGAGAATTACCTCGTTTAAAAAGTGCTTCTGAACCACGGTTTCAGAGCATCCAAACAGGCCCATAATAAAAACCGAGTCAAAATTCTTAACTTCGTGTGAAAATAAGAAAGATCTACACAAATTTAGAGGGGAGAGAGAGTCTTTCCAAGTACTTTTATTTATTGTTTTAACTTTTGTACATGCTCTCTTTAATTTTTAATATAAGAATGAAATAATTAATTTAAATATATTAAAAATTAATTAATTTGTATTTATTGTAAATGTGTGTTATTAAAAAATTGACATTAACAAGATCTGCGGGTGTATGTGTTAATAATTTTTGTATTTGTAATACATATATTTTATTGTGTATAAAATCAAAGATTGATTTCATACTCATATCTAAAATGAGTTAATAACATATCTATAAAATACGAATCATGTAAATCATACTTAGGTTTTTTTATTTTTGATATTTTTATTTCAAAAAGATAAAACAATTTAAAATATTTAAATATTATTTTTTCTGTTTAATTTGAATCACAAACACTATAAAACAAACATAAATACAGTTACTCTTTAAAATTAAAATAAATCCAAAATGTTCAGATTAAATTTTAAAAGTCTAGGTCACATTTTGAAAAAAATGAATAGGACGTGCTTACCATCATTTGTTAATCATTAATCATTCATATAAGCACAGAACCTAGACAAGGACAATATGGAGGTCAGATTTTACATCTTTTGAATGAAAATGAGAAAAGATTCAAGGCAAATCCTTCCATTTCCTTGTCAACATTTGTTTTTTTTTTTAAAAAAAAAAGAACTAATTCTCTACTCACGTCATGAAAAGGAATATTTATATATTTTTAAAAAAATTATGCATATAAAGGCACAAATCTAAGTTGAGATAAAGAAAGCCAGTGATGGAAGAAAAAGTCTAAAATATAGTTAGGATATTAATAAATGATTCAATGGAATATGGATAAGAAGACAAAATATCTGTGTCTCAATCACCAAGTCTTCAAGCCTCACCCTCCAATTATATACCCACAATAGCCATAAGTGCTTTGAATCAACCCCTCATGATGAAAATGTCAATTTTTTTCTAAATATGTCCATTCATTTTTAAAAAAATGAAAATATGAAGTTTTTATTAAAAAAAGAAGACAAAACTAGCAATTTTAATTTTAATAGCAAACAAAAATTATGTACAATTTTAAATGTTAAAAAACTATTTTTTTTTGAATTTCAATTAGCAAAGTTATACTTATTTCAAATCATGCTCTATAACAGGATAAAAATTAAAGCTAAAATATTAAAAAGAATATCTCGAGCAAATTCAGACAACGGAAGAAAAAAAAACATAAGGAAATAGAAACATGAACAGTAAATAAAGGTAATACCGAACCGCTAACGAAACTGTTAAGGTTTTGAAGGAGAAATGAATTAAGAAAGGAACCACGAGGTTCTCGTGGAGTTTGGTAATGTCAAACAATTTTGACATTTTTATTTAATTAAATTTATTTATTTATTTTATGTCGACGTTTTCCCCTTAAGAACAAGACAATGCAACCGTGGGCTGGATTCATTCATTACTGTTGAATTTTGATAATGCGAAAAAGAAACTCTTTGAATACCGAAAAATTATAAAAGTCCAAATTAAAATTGAAAAAAAAGTCAAACAAAACTCCTTAGTGATAAATTATAAAGCAGGCACTTGATCTTCTTTCTTTCTCTTTTTTTTTGGTTTTAATTCAGGATATTTTAATTACTTTGTATTTAAGATTAATTTTCACCAAAATTGGTGAGTGTTTAAAGTTCTCTCAACTTGGTTGAGACTAAACCATATTAGAGAAATTCAATTGGTTTAAATTTAAGGAATTTACCTGAAAAATCTACAGGGAAAATTGATGCTTGAAGAACCAACATGTAGCAAGATCTTCAAAAAAGATTTAGAAGTCTCTGAGGGATTAAAATTATTTAAAGTGGGTGTGAGATTTCACAAATTATACTTATAGAGTGCTTGAATAAAAATCATAGCATAATTTTAAAATAAATATGTAAAAAAAAAACTTTCATGTCAATTTGAGTAAAAATATTTTTTTAAAACTTTCATGTGTTCAATTGTATAAGAAGATATTTAAATAAAATAAAATCATGATTTTAAAAATATTTTAACGATATAAAAAAT